TATTATTATTTCATTATTATATGAGGAAAGGGTAAATGTTGTAGGCCTACATCTGACATGTAAATATTAGTGTACTGTTTTTTTTTTTTTTTTTTTTCAATGAACGAATGGCTGAATGTACCAAATCATGTGAATTCATCAAAGAGAAGATCGTGATATTGTAAGGTTGCCTTTGTACATGTACCCAGCAGGTAGAACGTAAACAATTCCTGTTACCACGCAAATTTTAGCATCTGCTACAATGTATCGAACACGCTATGCCACGCATGCTATGGCCTAATAGATTTGGAGTGCTACCGTTTACAAGTTCCCAAACTTCATATTTAATATAAAAAAATTATGAACTTACGTGTATTCGTGGCCTTTTTAAGGCCGTCTGCCATCCGCTCTCGGCTTCATGTGTTATTCACAATGTCTGATCTCGATTTAGACTCTATACATGTTGATCTAACATTTTTTCACAAATACATCGACGGTTGTGGATGTAAACAAACCCCTTATTCCTGCTACTAATATTGTAATATTGTTTCATCATTTCAGACTCTACATTGATCGTGTTTCTTGCTTTCGATAAAATGAAATCATTTTCAACCCAAATCAGCTCGGTATCAACTTTCAAGTTTAACAAGTAAAATCTAGATTAGTCTAAAGATTTCCTTCAATCTTGTAAAAACGCTCGTTTTCCATTTAGGACGCATGCACGTGATAGATATATCCTTAAAAGGCAAAACGTATTGTGACGTCATTGGCCCGTGCCGACGTAACCAGGCAGCACAAAAGCTATTGGAGATATGCTGAGCGCCAGCGAAGTGAATACGGAGATTTTCTTTTGAGTAAAAAAGACGATATTAACAATGATAGTTGCGTCTCATTTGGCCTTTTTAGGCATGAAATACAGTTACATGTACTTTTTTCACAGAGAAATATTCAGACTCGAAAACGAGGTAAGATATTGCTTTTTGTTTTGCAGAACANATTAGAAAATATCAGGCCATGGGGGTATCAAGACATTTACTTATAATAGAATTGAACAAAATGTTGGAACGTTTTAGACGTTTTGTGATAATTTTACTCGATTTATTTAGACACCCACTTTGGACTGAATTGCCAACTAGAGCAGAAGCCAGA